CATCTACCCCACGATCTTCGTGAAGTACTTCGCGATCTACGGGGAATGCCTTACGATCTGCTCGAAATTCATCACGACCAGAAAGCTAGATGCCCCCAAACGGGGACCAGCATGGCCCCAGGACGACCAAAACCACCCCGATCGACGATTCTTCGGGCTCCGACTGGGCGGGGGCTGAGATTAAGAACCCCTTCTTTGATCGTTTGCGACCAGTGTGGTCTTCAAGGTCGCCCCCCATAATAAGAGCTCGAGTATGCCCCCCCATGCCACCCCATAACCACGAGAGCCCCAAAACCACCCAACAAAACTGCCAAAGAAATCCCACATGGAAATATCCGCGAACCCGTTTATAGCTTAACTCGTGGGTCTGCTCAGGCTGATCCCGAGCTTCGGTTTGACGGCTGCCCCAACTCTGTTCACCTTCTTACTCCTGCGCTTCCCTGGTCCAGACAACTCATGGGCTGATGGTGCGGATGCGCGAAACGTCAGTGAGTCCCTGCGCGGAGAAACGCATCAATGCACCAGAATCATGGAGACATAAGGGCCCATCACAACGTAATATTCTGATACTTAATGATGGTGATGGTGATGGTGATCTGATGATGGTGATGGTGATGTATATGCGAGGGGGGGGGGACGAGCGTGATGGTGATGGTAGGGATGAGCAAGAAGGGCAAACACGATGATTCGCATGGTAATGAAAGGGGGGAAATCCGCGATACATTGTTTTTCTGGTCGGGGCGAGGGAAGCGGAAGAACTTGACAACCACAAGGGGGGAACCTACGAGGAAACGGAGGAGCAGGAGGATGACGGAGGAGGAGGAGGAGGAGGAGGAGGAGGAGGAGGAGGAGGAGGAGGAGGAGGATGAGGACGGAGGAGGAGGAGGACCAGGAGGAGGAGCAGGAGGAAGGAGGATGACGCAGGAGGAGGAGGAGGAGGAGGAGGAGGAGGAGGAGGAGGAGGAGGACAAAAAGGGCCTCGGGCGAGGAGGGCTGAGGAGTTGCGAGGCGGCGCAGGCTTGCTCCTCCCTCCCTCCTCCGCCCCTCCTCCTCCTCGCCCTCCCTCCGCCGTCCCCTTCCTTTTTTCTAACTTGTATGCGGCGTGCCTGCGGTTCGTTCATGAAAGCGATGGACAGCAACGCGTGCTGCTGGAAGGAAAGCCGCCGCGGCTGTCTCTGCAATGGGTCGGGTGATGGGGGCCAGAGAACTATATAGAGTGGATGCAGCAAACTGGAAAATGAGGTGTCGTGCTCATCCCTCTTCCCCCTTTCGCCTCGTCCTCCTGCTAGCCACGAGACACGTTTTTATGCACGACCACGTGCTCGCCCGCACTGCTCTCCAGGAACGAAACCTCGATCCGGTAGCCCGCCTCCGCGCCCAACAGCCAGGCCGGCTAGTCGGCCACCTCGGCCGTTAGGCGGGCCGCGGCGTCCTCGGCGCGGTCGTGCCCGATGGAGGTCCACTGCTGCCTCGCCCTGGTCCTTCCGCCTCTTCCTCCTGCTCATTATGCCGCTGCTCACGCTGCTGCTGCTGCTCTTCCCAGGAGGAAGCTGGTGGGCGGACCTGCGGCGCCCTCCACGGCCACAGCTGCCGATCTGGCGGCCCCCTCTCGCAGCTGCAGCGCCAGCGACGCGGCGCGGGCCTGGTGGGGGCCGTCGGGAGGAGGCTAGGGGGAGGAGAAGGAGGATAAGGAGGAGGAGGACGAAGGAGGAGGCGGAGGAAAAGGAGAAGGAAGAGTTAACGGAGGAGGATGATGAGGAGGAAAAAGAGGAGGAGGAAGAAGAGGAAGAGGAAGAGGAAGGGGAGGAGGAGGAGGAGGAGAAGGAGGAGGAGAAGGAGGAAGAGGAGGAGGCGGAGGAAGGAGGAGGAGGAGGAGGCGGAGGAAGAGGAGAAGACGGAGGAAAAGGAGGAGGAGGAGGAGGCGGAGAAAGAGGAGGAGAAGGAGGAAGAGTTAACGGAGGATGATGGTGAGGAGGAAAAAGAGGAGAAGGAAGAAGAAGAGGAAGAGGAAGAGGAAGGGGAGGAGGAGGAGGAGGAGGCGGAGGAGGAGGAGAAGGAGGAATAGTTAGCGGAGGATGATGATGAGTAGGAAGGAATAATATAAGGAGGATAAAGAAGAAGAGGAAGAGGAATAGGAAGGGGAAGAGGAGGAGGAATATAAGGAGGAGGAGGAAGAAGACATGGTGGGTCGTGGTGGTGGTGGTTGTGGTGGTGGTCACTGCGTACGGGAAACAAGCCCCGAGCAGAGCAACAAACACCACGACCAAGACGATGCCGAGAACGACGATGGAATCGAGGCACGCAGACGATCCGCACCGAAAAACGGATTAGGTAAATGGCCCAGCCAGCAAACCCGTTTGAACAACACTTCTTTGAGCGGTGCTGCAGCCTCCCCTGAGCACAGCCCCCCCAAAGGATCAGCCAGACAAGTCGGGTTTGCAACCTCATGCCATGCTGGACCCTTGGCGCGCTTCGGCACTGTCACTGCCACTGCCACTGCTGGGGGCCGTCGGTAGGAGGGTGGGGGGCGGAAGAGGAGGAGAAAGAAGGAGGAGGAGGAGGAGGAGGAGGAGGAGGAGGAGGAGGAGGAGGAGGAGGATAAGGAGGACCAATGTAAACAGAATAACCAACAACGATGTTGTAATACATCCTCCCTCCACGCTCCCTCTTCATAGGCCCCATAGCACGGTTCCTTTTCACTGAGGGAACTGCCTCGTTGGAAGGCAACCGTTTGAAGATCCTGAAACGTGCGAAAACATTGTTCTCGGGATTCCAACGCCACGGAGCGTCTAGGCGATCCAGAAATGTGCCAGAACGCCACTCCTGGGACTTCACCACCGAGAACCAACGTAACTGTTACACCCTCAGAATCCCGAATCCTCTCAGAACCGTTTCTGGTACGGTGATCATGGGATTCCGTGAAGCTCGGGCGAATTCTAGAAACGAATGTGCGCGGCGTTAAAACGACAACCACATGTTGAACAGGAACGGCCCATCATTCGTGCAACTCTTGCAACTTTTACAAAATTAATAAGCGCGGCGCTAAAGCGACAACCACATTTTGAAGATGAACCGCCCCCGATCCGTGACGCCCTGGCACATTTTCAAAACGAATGTGCGCGGCGCTAAAGCGAGAGCCACATTTTTTAAACTGGCCGCCGTCCATCTGTGAAACTGCTGCCACACATTAAGCTTCAGGGTCATAAGTGATGAAGAAGTCTCAGGCGGACCGCCTGGCCCGCCCTAACATCTGGCCTCGGGGTGCGACCTGGGGAGGGTTATTTATAAGGAGAAGGAATGGAGGAGGAAGAAGAGGAAGGAGAGTAGGAACAGGATGGTACGGAAGGTAATGATGATGCTCTCTGTCCGTAGAGCCCGCTACCAAGGCTAGCGCCTCGGCCAATGCCGAGGCACATCAGCTGTGGTAGTGCCCCCAAAACGAAACGAAGCTGCCAATGCGACGGGAGAAACGCAAGCCGCCCAATGGCAGCCCAAGCCGCGCCGCGCCAGCGGTGGCAAGAGAGAAGGCGCGCCAGTCAAGCGGCCCAGCCAAAAACATCAGAAGGGGACGTCAAGCTCCAGCACTCCGATATCTTTACGCCACACATCGGAGATCGCGTATGGCCTGTTCCAGCGGCGCCACGATGGCGTCTGGGAAGTAGAGCGCGTGACGCCTCCTCGCCAGGGCCACGAGTTGCGCCGTGGTACTGTTGAGCTCTGGTAGGTGCGTGGAGCCAACCGGGCCTCAATGGCCTTGCGTTTGCTCTGGCCCCTGCCCCAGGACCTCGAGCGGCCAAGAGCCCCTCTCTGTGTAATGTCAACCACCTCCACTCCCTTAATGTACTGGCAGGTGGTGATGAGGTCTCTGCGCTGAGGCCTGAAAATCCTCTGGTAGGTTTTCCATCTAATTATTCCCAACCGTCCTGTGGTGTTGGGTCCTCGTTTTGAAGAGACAGCGCCCCGCGTCTCCTCTCCTCTCCTCTCCTTTCCTCTCCTCCTCCTCCTCTCCTCTCCTCCTCTCCCTCCTCCTCCCATCCGCCTCGTCACCTCCCTGCGCTTCACCCGCCCAATACAGCGTCGCGTGGCCCCATAGGGAACCCACCGAGGGCTCCAGTGGCAGGGTCCGCATGCGTCACCGCCACCCAGGACAGCGTTTCGTAACTCCATAGGGAGCTCCATCGAAGGTTCCACTGGCAGGGTCCGCATACGCCACCGCCACCTAGGACAGCGTTTCGTGGCCCCATAGGGAGCTCCACCGAAGGCTCCAGTGGCAGGGTCCGCATGCGTCACCGCCACCCATGACAGCGCCTCGTGGCCCCATAGGGAGCTCTACCGAAAGCTCTAGTGGCAGGGTCCGCATGCGTCACCGCCACCCAAGACAGCGCTTCGTGGCCCCATAGGAAACCCCACCGGAGGCTCAAGTGGCAGGGTCTGCACGCGTCACCGCCACCCAGGACATCGTTTCGTGGCCCCACAGGGAGCCCCACCGAAGACTCCAGTGGCAGGGTCCGCATGCGTCACCGCCAATCAGGACAGCGCTTCGTGGCCCCATAGGAAGCTCCACCGAAGGCTCCAGTGGCAGGGTCCGCATGCGTCACCGCCACCCAGGACAGCGCTTCGTGGCCCCATAGGGAGCAACACCGAAGGCCCCAGTGGCAGGGTCCGCATACGCCACCGCCACCCAGGACAGCGTTTCGTGACTCGATAGGGAGCTCCACCGAAGGCTCCAATGGCAGGGTCCGCATGCGTCCGCGCCGCCGATTTCGGCGCACCCCTCGTACGCTTCGTGGCCCCACAAGGAGCTCCACCGAAAGCGGTACCCACAATGCGGCGCTCGCAACTGCATATGATTGGATCCTTTCGTCAGGCTAATTCAAAAGAATGCCCGCTTCGCTCAGGTCTACAAGGTGCTGGACACTCTCTCTCTCTCTCTCTCTCTCTCCCTTCAGGAGGCCAAAGCAAGGCTCGCATCCAGCTCCTCCTTCTGCTTCATCTGCTCGTCCATGACGCCCCTCCCCATCCACGGCGACTAGTTCGGTCGCGGTGCAGACGCCTGCTTGGGCTGAGTGGCCCGAGAACTGCTCGCCTCTAACTGGCCCGCTGGCGAACTGCCCGCCGCTTGCAAGGGGCCGCGCTCCTTGTCCTCCCTCATGGCCGCGGCTAGACTCGTCTCCAGATGCTCCTTATGCTTCTTTTGCTGTAGCAGCGTCTCCGGCGTGGCAGTGCGACCCCAGATCTTGCAGTTGCCGCGGAAGCCGAAATTTGTGTAGCTGCACATCTTGCACTTTCACTTCAGCACGTCGTGCTTGGCCTGGTCCTTCGAGGTCTTGCAGGCATCTTCTTCGTGTGGATGTCCTCGACGCTCTGGGCAAGCATGCCCAGCCTCTGGTCCGAGGGCTTCCAAGTGGCCTGCTTCGCGGCCCGGACTTGCACCTTGTCCTGACGGCTGTCCTACTGTCCTCCGCGGCCTGGATGATCTTCTCCTGGTCGTCCGTCTCCGCCTTGGTCAGCTCCTCCTGCCTCTGGCCTTGCTCCAAAGGACTCTGATGCTGCGGCATGCTCTGCACGGCCTCCGCCATGGAGGGCCAGGACAGCTCGAGGTCGCAGCCGAGGGACTGGCCCAACGTCACCTCCTGATACTGTTTCCAAGAAGTAGTCCTCCCACGAGAGGTCGGACGTGACGCGATTCGCCTCCATCTCCCTCTTGAACTCCTTCCTGTTGTGCAGCCTGTCCGTCCTCGGTGAACGCCTTCCGCTTGGCCAGCAGCTGGAGCTTGTGCTCCTCGGGCATACGCTTCGCCGACGGCGTGGGTGCCTGCGAAGTCCCGACGGCCTCCGAGCCCGCCACCTTGTTGGATTCGAGAGAACTTGGTTCCAACTCCCGTCGGGCTCCTTGGCGCGTCTCAGGGGCGTGGGAGGCGCTCTCTTCTTGCGCGGATGCTCTCCTTGGGCATGTCCACGCTGCCCTGGGCAACCATCGTCGAAGAGGACGACCGGGCCGCCAAAGACTTCGGCGAATCTGCGAAGCTTGCTGCTCAATTCGCAACCGATGGGCGAATTACCCACGAAGGAAGGCAACGTTCATGGTGATCCTGTTCCGGCCGCCGTGGCTCTGCGTTGCTGCGCCCTCTCGACGTGCGCGGCGCGACGCCCAAACAACCTCGGGCCGAAAGGGCTAAGATGAGCAGGACGAGCAGGAGGAGGAGGAGGAAACAGAGGAGGAGAAGGAGGAGGAGAAAACGGAGGCGGAGGCGGACGAGGATGAGGAGGCGGAGGAGGAGGAGGAGGACGAGGCGGCGGCGCTTTACCAGAGTCCAAAGAGGGTCAGAGTAGGGGGGACTACGTAGGATGGGGATACCCCCACATCACGATGCTCGGCACCTCATACCACGAGGGGCACTAGCGGCAGTCCCGTGCATGCACGGGGGGTGCCGATGCAGAACCCGTTCCGATGAGGCTCCTCACAGACCCTCAGGAGGCGATGCACGGAAGACAACTTTGAAGACAACCTGTGTCACGATCGGCCAACCAGCGTAAGATGTTAAACAGCGATGCGGGGCAGGCGTGTGAGATGTTGGACGCTCCGATAATCCGTTCCAGCACACTTCACCTGCTCAACAAGACGGATATGGGTAGTCATCACAAAACCATCGCAGTCGCACGGGGCAGGCGCGTCGAGGTGTCATGCGGGGGTGATGTGCGGAGCTCTCACCACGCCAGGCTTGTCCTCATGCTGAATACAGTCGAGCGCAATTTAAAGCCTTCGTCGAATGGCCGACAATACGTGCATCCGCTTTTAGACTGGCCGAAAATGATTCCGTTAGCATCTCCCCATCGTATTCGGCGACACTTTCATGTACCAGAAACGTGGCACACCTATCGGGGGTCCGCTCTCGGGTCAGATTCTCGAAATCGTTCTGAGAAGGCTGGAGCACGCAGCTGGAAACACACGGCCGTTGCTGCCACAGCATAGTGCGGTTGGGAAATTTGTGGGCGATAATTGCGCCTTGTCTTTAACGCAATGTAAGAAGCCCATCAAGGCTGTCGTTGAGGATATTCTCGTTGGAATCAATCAGTTCGACGAGGATACGAAATTGTCAGATTATCGGGAATTCGGTCGTGCAGCAATTTCCCGAAACATACGTTCATTTGTCGTACTACGAAATCTGGGCCAATCGCGTCCTCAAACGCCTGAAGCGTTTACTTTTGGGGGTGATCTTTCCAAACAGATGTTGGAGCGTTTTTGAAGCAATTTGGCCAGGCCGAGCTAAAACAACACCGTGCTGAACTTCAGGGAAGGCTGCACATGTGGAAAACATTACAACTACCCAACGTCGACCCCATATATGTGAAAGAGCGCGCCCGCAGGGCCAGAGCAAAGGGGGGGTCCCCCCTGAGCTCCCTCCCCCCTTTCTTGGACCTCCCCTGCCCGAAGCCCCCCCCCTCTCCCTCCCTTTTGTCCGCCCCGCGGAAGCTCCCCCTCCCTTCCCCCCTTTTCGCCTCCGGCAGCTACCCTCCCCCTACCTCCCTTTTGCAAACGTGGCGGGACGCTTAGCCCCCCCCCTTCCCTTCGACTCCCCTGCCGGCGGCAACCCCCCCCCTGTCCCCCATTTTGTCGCCGTCCAGAAGCTACCCCCCCCTCCCGCCCTTTCGCCCTCCAGAAGCTACCCCTCCCCTCCCACCCTGTGCGAAAGGGAGAGAAGGGCTTGGCTACCCCCCCCTCGCTTGAACCCGCCCTGCCGGAAGCCCCCTCCATCCACCGCTTTTCGTCGCGCCGCCCCGAAGCTCCCCCCCCCCTCCTCCCCTTTCGGCCTCGGGAAACTCCCCCCCACCCCCCTTTCCGAAAGGGGAGGGGGGGCTTAGCTACCCCCTCCCTCCCTTGGACCCTCCCTGGCAAAAGCACCCCCCTCCCCTCCTTTTGTCCAATCCGCGGGAGCGCCCCCCCCATCCTCTGGAACCCGAACCGTCGCCCCCGGCTCCTCACACGTAGACCCTGACATTGACACCCCCAAACAACTGCGACTACGACCCGCACCCATACACCCTATCCCAAACACTTTACCATGTACACCTCACCCGCAACCCTCCTGATTGTACCCCCGCCCGAAGGCCCCCCCCGACTCCCCCACGAACGCCCGGAACCGAACTCCCTCGCCCCTAGAAAACGAACAAAACTAGAAAACTAGAAAACGAACCAAGGTCTGAAAAAACAGGGCCACGACCCAGGGGCCGAGAAAACGGAAAAACGAGAAACCAAACCAAGGTCAGAGAAACCGAGACCACGACCCAGGGGCCGAGAAAACGAGAAACCAAGAAAACAAAGCAAGGCCCGAGAAAACGAGACCACGACCCAGGAGCCAAGACTACGAGAAAACAAAAAAACGAATCAGGGTCCAAGAAGACGAGACCACGACCCTGGGGCCGAGACTACGAGAAAACAAAGAAACTATACAGGGTGTGAGAAACCGACACAGCGACCCAGGGGCCGAGACAACGAGAAATCGAAACAACGAACCAGGGTCCGAGAAACAAGACCACGACTCAGGAGCCGAGACAACGAGAAAACGCGAACACGAACCAGGGGCCGAGAAAACGGTTACACAACCCAGGGACCGAGAAAACCAGGAACCGAGACCACGACCCATGGGGCAGAGAAACCGAGACCACGACCCAGGGGCCGAGAAAGCAAGAAAACGAGAAAACGAACCAAGGTCAGAGAAAACGAGACCACGACCCATGAGCCGAGAAAACGAGAAAATGAACAAAGCCCGAGAAAACGAGACCACGACACAAGTGCAGAGAAAACGAGACAACGAGAAAACACACCAGGGTCCGAGAAAATACGGCCACGACCAAGGGACAGAGAAAATGAGAAAACGCGAAAACGAACCAGGGTCCGAGAAACCGAAACCACGACGCAGGGGCCGAGAAGACAAGAAAAGGACAGAACGATCCAGAGCCAGAGAAAACGAGACCACGACCCAGAGGCCAAATGAGAACACGAGAAAACGAACCAGAGCCAGCGAAAACGAGACCACGACCCAGAGGCCGAGGAAAAAAAGAAAGCAAGATAACGAACCAGGGTCAGAGAAAACTGTGCCACGACCCAGGGGCCGAGAAAACGAGAAAACGAGACACCGAACCAAGGCCAAAGGAAAGGAGACCGTGACCCAGGGGCCGAGAACACGAGAAAACGAAATCACAAACCAGGACCACGACACAGGAACAGAAAAAACAGGAAAACGAGAAAACGAACCAGGGCCTGAGACTACGAGAGTATGACCCAGGGGCCGAGAAGACGAGAAAACGAAACAACTAGCCAGAGCCCAAGAAAACACGGCCACGACCCAAATGCAGAGACAACGACACAACAAGAAAATAAACCAAAGTCCGAGAAAACGAGACCACGACCCAATGGCCGAGAAAACGAGACAACGGGAAAACGAACCAAAATCAGAGAAACCTAAACCACGACCCAAGGGCCGAGAAAACGGGAAAACAAGCACACGAGAGAACGAACCAGAGCCAGCGAAAACGAGACCACGACCCAGAGGCCAAATGAGAAAACGAGAACACAAACAGGGGTCCAAGAACACGAGTCCACGACCCAGAGGCAGAGAAAACGAGAAAACGAAAAACCGAGACAGGCCACGACCCAGGGGCCGAGAAAACGAGAACACGAGACAACGAACCAGGGGCCAAAGAAAAGGAGAACACGACCCAAGGGCCGAGACAACGAGAAACCGATACAACAAACCAAGGCATGCGAACGCGAGGCCACGACCCAAGGGCCGAGAAAACGAGAGAACGAACCAGAGTCCGGGAAAACGAGACCACGACCCAAGGACCGAGAAAACGAGAACAAGAGAAAACGAACCAATATCCGAGAAACCGCGGCCTCGACACAAGGGCAGAGGAAACGGGAAAACGAGAAAAGAAGCAGCCAGATCCAGAGAACATGAGATCACGACCCAGAGGCAGAGACAACACGACAACACACCAAAGCCCGAGACAACGAGACCACGACCCAGGAGCCGAGAAAACGAACAAACGATTACACGAACCAGGGTCAGAGACAACGAGCCCACGACCCAGGGGCCGAGAGCGCGAGAAAACTAACCAACACCAAGAAACAAACCAATCCACGACACAAGGGCCGAGAAACCGAGGAACCGAGAAAACGAACCAAAATCAGAGAAACCATCCCCACGACCCAGGAGCAGAGAAAACGGGAGAACGAGAAACCAAACCAGGGTCCAAGAAAGCCACACCCCGACCCAAGGGTCGAGTAAATGAGAAAACGAGAAGACGAACCAGGGTCAGAAAACACGGTACCACGACACGGGGGCCGAGAAAACGATAAAACAATACAACTAACCAGGGCAAACACAACGGGGCCACGACCACGGGGCCGAGAAAACGAGAAATCGAACCAGGGTCAGAGAAACCGCGGCCACGACACAGGGGGCGACACACGAGACAACCAGAAAACGAGCCAGGGTCTGAGATAACGGTACCACGACCCAGCGTCAGAGAAGAAGAGAACGCGAACCAAGGCACGAGAAACCGACACCACGACCCAAGGGCAGAGAAAACGACAAAACAAAACAGGACCCGAGACAACCGAGATGCCTACATATAGTTCTGGTGAATTCTGCTAAGTAGTGCTAATATGAACCAACATGTACGTAGTAGCTTAGATGATCTAAATTAAACTACGATGATTTAACCTAAACTTAGACTAGCTAGAATCACTTCTCAACTTCGCACAACCAAGGACATTCATTTAAGTGAAAGTGTCACGTTGAGCGTAGTTCGGTGAAGTTGAAGTTAACGGGGAAGTTACGGGAAGTTGGAGAAGCTCATTCTCCCAACCATCCTGTGGCGTTGGGTCCTTGTTTTGAAGAGACAGCGCCCCGCGTCTCCTCCTTCCTTCCTTCTCCCCCTCCCCCCCTCCTCCCCCTGAGGGGGCCAGTGCAGCGGCATCGCGACTTGGGGGGGCTCGGGATTAGCGCTTGCGCTTGATGTGTACACATACTGTTATCGATACACAAAGATACACATATATATATGTGTATGTCTGTCTGCCTGTCTGTATTGTCTGTCTGTCTGTCTGTCTGCCTGCCTGCCTGCCTGCCTGCCTGCCTGCCT